ACGAGGGGAAGGTTACAGGTGCAGCAGAGGTGATAGGTACCTACCTCCTTGATCCGATCCATGGTGAATTTCCGTTGTAGAGGTCGTGAATTCGGGGTCTGGCAGAAAGTCGAATGGGGGAGAGCAGGTGTACGTTGGCTGGAATCAAAGATAAATGATCTTGTTCGTAAGGGAAGGCTCAACTGGCGGTCACTGATGCATTATTCGCTAAGAGTCAGCTGGGGGGATAGAGGGGAAGTCATTCGATGATCAAGCCAATGACATTTGCGTTCTAGGGGTGAGGCTGCATGGGCTTCAGCCCTCACTGTTTGCGCTCTAGGCCGGTCTCATGCTCTAACGGTTCGACCGAACACCGCCAGGAGCCTCCCGGAACGCGTTGCTCAGGGCAACCGCGTCAACAATTCGACCTTGTCCGCGTTTCTCCCCCATGAATCAATCCCCAACAATCCCTCGCGCCCTAGATTTCGAGCGCAGACAATAATTACAACTATCTGGACGATTCGACATCATATCAGCCATGGCAAGCATTCTAGCCTCACGAGACCAAGAAAACCTCATCCACGCCCAGCAGACCACAGCTGCTGGCAAGCCATTGAACCAAAGCGCGCGGATGGTAAATCCAAAGACACCAGGAAACCTGAAGACTCCTTTTCGACCAGCGAAGAATGACGAAAACCTACCGGTCCGGTTCAATGGACAGAAGCCGATGGAGAAGGATGTGCCAACCAAGTTAGACAAGAGTACATCTGTTACACCTTTGCTTCCACGCAACCGAGCTCCCCTTGGAATCAAGACAACCAACGCGAAAGCTCAAGCATTTCAGACACCTGCTCCTGCTCCTCTGATGACAAAGCGTCCTGGCACTGGCCAGAAACAATCCACAGCTCGTCGATCAGGAAAGTCTAAGATCGCAGTCTCTCTTTCCGAATCAGTGGAGAGCGAGTCTTTGTTGAAAAGACCTGCGCAAGAACAAGAGCCCGATTTTGGATACGCGCCACCGCCACCAGAAGAGCTACCGGATCCCCCAATCGAATTTGAAGAAGATGCTCTTCTTACAGAGGAGCTGAGAGCAGGATACGGAGTGGTCTATCCCTACGATTCCCCGAAAGATGAAAATGGAATGTCGATACGCTCTAACAGGGAAAAGGAGGACTGGCACCAATTCGATGCAGATCGAATGAAAAAGAGCCTTGAGGACATGGCCAAGCCTGTATTTCCTACACTTAGCAAGTTGGACGCACAGGTCGACGCCATGATTGCAGCAGGACCAAAGAAACGACGAGACCTCTCAAGAGTTGATACCATGCAAGCGAGGTCTGCGGCCGCGGCGCTCTCTGGCTCACAATTACACCTACCTGCTGCTATCAGAAAAACCACGCAGGTATCGGAACAGAAGAAGAGACAAGTTCTTCCCGTCACGAGAGGCAAACATTCTACTCTGCCACGGCGCTTTTCGTCATCTCGCAGCACCCATACTGCCATTTCTAAGAACACGATTGGGTTTCCCAAAGCAAAGAAGGTTCCCTCCATAATTCCCAGAGGTGCTGAAACCGAGAGAAACGGACTTACCTCAGCCTCGAAACCCGGCAAGCTCTCGCAGGCATCGATTCACCCACGCGACTTCCGCGACCTTTATGGGTCACCCCCTGAGGAAAGTGACATGTGGTTCAGACTGAAGCAATTCGAGCTGCTGGAGCAAGATTTGGTTCAGGATGGGGCTAGTGATCTCGCAGATGACCTATTTGGAACCGACTTCTTCCCTTTCGAAAACGCAAGATTGGACGATGAGGATTTTCAATTGCCCGTACCGGAGTGAACACGATGCTTCGGTCAGTCCTCGTCGGAGGCACAGGGCATAGCATGTTCCTGGCAACCTTTACGACACTCGACGATTCATGATATTGATACCCCCTTGAAAGATATTGTAAGGACCCGGAGTTGCCAACGCACGAATATCTAACCGGGAACGGCGCCAACTTGTTCGGAAGGGAACAACTTGTTCGGTACTATGGATGGTGGGAAGTCTATACAGAGAGTGCTTTTGGAACTATTTGATTTTAGAGACGGGCTTTTGTTGCTTGGGCAAGCGCATTTCTACTGTACTTTGCCCTCCAACTGGAGCGCGTTTCCCAATCTTCCATTGACTTTGTCGTTGATGTCCAGCACGGGAGCGGTTATCATCTCGGCTTACGGTAATTCATCCACACCGCCGTGAACGCCACCATTTGTCGCTGCCTTGAGAAACTCCTTGGGCGGCTCCGTGACTTTCATATTCCAGCCAAACTGATCCTTGACCTTGCCCATTTGAATGCCCTTTAACGTGCTCAACAACTGTGCACAAACTGGACCAGGATCTAGGTTCTCGTTGACCGGATATTCGAATTTATCACCCTTGGATTTCATGGTGATGCTCTTGATAGGCACCAAACTCGCAGCGGTGCCAGCGGCCATGATTTCTGTGAATTGAGGGAGCTCGCTGTAGTCGATCCGACGTCTCTCCACATTGTAGCCAAACAGGTCTTTGGCGATTTGGCAGGCGGATTCTGATGTCACGGACTTGATGACATTTTTAGAGTCAGGCACCACAATCGTCGTCTTGTCCCCGTCCTTCCGCACGCCCAAGAAGCCCGAAGTGGAGAACTCGTCGATCTCGCTCCGTGTCTTGCTATCCAAGTGCAGAGTGATACCGAACCCTTGAGAACGTGCCTTCTCGCTATGCCGCAACACGGGGGCGTAGTTGCCGCCCACCTTTGCACTGCCCGTGCCCTCTGGGGCCGCACGGTCGAAATCTTCGAGGATCAGCGCGTCCACAGCATGCACACCGTGGTACACGCCTGTGGGCATCACAAACACCACAAAGGTATACTCATCCGGAGGGTTCAGGCCGAGCTGGGCGCTAGAACCGAACAACAACGGACGGATATACATTGCCGCGCCGGTCTCGTGAGGGGGTACAAACTCAGCATTCAGCGCCACAGCCAGATTCACACATTCTACGAAATGGTCCTCTGGCACGGGAGGAACAGAAATGAATTCGGCAGAGCGTTGCATGCGGAGAGCATTCTGGTCGGGACGGAAGATAGAGATGGACCCATCTGGCTGTCGGAAGGCTTTCATGCCCTCGTAGCACTGGACACCGTAGTTCAAGCCGGGGGCCATGCCATGAATCGATAAGTGAGGCGAGGTCACAAAACGAGGTTTGCTCCATTCTGGCTTGGGCGAGGAATAGCGGAAGGTGGATTCAATATGTCCATTGACCTCGCGAACTTTGAAGCCGACATTGCTCCAGTCTGGACGATATCGTCAGCAAGGTTTCCTGCAGAGTTTGTGCGCAGAATTCTGTGCGCTCCATTGTGCCCGCCTCAAGAGAAAATAAAGGGAGGGTGCAGGACGCCTACCAATTGTGCTTACTGGTGGAGGGGGAAAAGGAGCCATGTTTGATTGTAGAGAGTGTAAGGAGAGACTCTGGATGTGCTGTTATTCGCCTTGTGGTGGTGACTACCTCGACGGTAAAATTGGTCGGCTGAAAGTCAAGGTTGAGCGTGAGAGTGGGCAGTCTTAAGTCAGATCAGAGTCACAAAGATGAGCCGGCACTGTGGCTTTTGGGGGGGACAAATATAAAAATCTTTTTCCCACCCCCGTAGGTTCCCGGAGTCCAAGTTGTAAAGTCCAAGCCAATAAGCAGATCTCCGGAGATGTTTCAGTCTGATGGTGTGGTGTGGTGTGGTGTGGCAATTCAAAGAGTGAGACGACCTGTTAACTACAACTCTTCTAGATTCTCTGCCTTCCACTCAGGTAATACTTGTTTTGGAGTGAGCGAGATCGGAGCGCCAGTCTTTCGTTTTTGGTGCATATCGCAAATTTTGCTGGCACCAGCTGCTGCTTTAGACTGAGGAGACGAGGGTGGCACAGGGTGGCACCAGTGGCTGAACCCCGGATTTCACCAGCTCGTGGAATGAGGATCAAGGAAACACGAGGACAAATCACGGTGAAATACCAGCCATCATACCTATCATCACCTGAGTTTCCCCCCTACGCTAACTTCCTTTCTTTGACTACTTGTGCTGAGTCCTATATTTTCTGTATAGTAGAATCTGCTTCCCTTGCATCAGCTTCAGCGTCGTCCTCTTTTCCTCACCTCTCTGTCCATTGTTGGCTTGTTTTTTGGGACCGAAGTTCTATCTGTCATCACTCCCCTTCAACATCCACCATGCCTCGAGCACCTCCCCCTGCCATGGTGTTGCTGTCCGCCATCGCCCTCTTTGTATGGTACATCATCTGGACTCGTGACCACGACCGGCCCCTGACCGCTCTGTCCCACGCCGATCGCTTCCAGCACTCGTCCAAACAACTACCACAAGACATGGCCGAAATCCCTACTGTAACAGCCACGCCGGAGACCTTACATGGCGACCATGTTATGGGCAAGCTTGGCAATGAAACCCTGAAAGCAGAACTGGGCCGCGCAGCCTGGAAAGTTCTTCATACTACCATGGCACGGTTTCCGGACAAGCCGACGCAAGACGAGAGCGACGCGCTCAAGAGCTATGTGTACCTCTTCGCCCGACTGTACCCATGCGGCGAATGTGCAGAACATTTCCAGCAAATCCTCAAGAAGTACCCTCCACAGACATCTTCACGGTCGAGTGCGGCAGCCTGGGCGTGCTTTGTGCATAACGTGGTGAATGAAAGAAAAGGCAAACCTATCTTTGACTGTGCCAACATCGGAGATTTCTATGACTGCGGTTGTGCAGACGATGAGAAGGAAGAGATGGCCAAAGCCGGAGCGAAGAGTGAGGCCATAGCCACCCAAGGGGCTGGTGCGAGACAGGAACCCGTTGAGATTGAGGTTGAGGGAGAAACAAGAGGCGGTTGAAAACAATACTTTGTACATTGGGCTACCAAGGCATGGACACATTATCCTCCGTGACCACCGCTACCAGGTCAATGAGGGAGACTGCACTCGTCTGCGTCTTCCTCAGTTCCTGTGACGACGTCTGTCAGACCGATGACTCGCAGAGACTGTCTCTAATGACTCCGTTGACACGGTTGTCACGTCCTTCAACCCTTGTGGCTTCATATCCACCATACTGAGTCTCCCTAGCACAACAGGGACTAAGTATCCTCATTGTCAATCGACGGAGGAGCCTTCTGCAAATGTTTGGGTCGCAGGTCTTGAGCTTGGTGGGAGTCTGTGGTGATCCCAGAGGACCGTCATCGATCGATTGTCTGGTGGACGGCGAAGTCGGTGTTGGAGGTTCTGAGGCGTCTTCTTCACTAAAAGGGCTCAACGTGCGAAATCCGACGTCGATGAAGCATCTGCTGGGGATGTACCAAATGTCGTCAGTGCTAGATTCTTGACATCCGCCGAAAGCCGTGTGAACTGACGGCATGCCGCGGCTGCTGCACTTTTGGCACGGATCTGCGAGGAAGACGTTGTAATCTCGGACTTGACAGCCACGAACGCTGGGAGAATTGCACACGGTGTCGCGGAAGCGATGTGTAGCGGGGTGCGAGCAGAGGAACAGGTATCGTTTCGTGGTGCACATTGTCGCTGAGTCGGAAACATTTGGGGAGTTGTACGCTTGATGGGAAACTAATTCAGCTGGAATTCTGTCGCCTTTTTATCCAACCTCCAGCAAGCCTTGGATTTCTCAGCACAATCAACGGGATGTTTGCTTGTGGGAGCAAACACCGCGGCAAGGCACTGTCTGGGCAGCCACGGCTTGAAGCATTGACACGGAAGGATAGGGCCTTTTCTCATTTTGGTCGGGTGTCCTGCTGAGGGAATGAAGAAAGAATCCATGGCGTTATGTCAAAATTAGCAACAACATCGACAATACGCCTTGTCCGTTCTTTGTCTGACGACGGTCTATTCTGTACTTATCTTGCAAACTCCTTGACGATCCTGCCCAGCGAGTCAAACATCAAGCGCCAGGACAAAGAAAGACAACCCGGAACAAAGCTGGCTGCGCATGATTTGGGCCCAGACAACAACCCATGGGTTCCGAAGACCAATGCAGAGCAAATACATGCGGCAATACCAGTCAAGCTTCGAGCCCATGCGGCATTTACATTCGAAGCGCAAGATTGAACTCCAATACCAGCTTACAGAATTGATCCCGATGTCACCAATATCTTCCTCCACAGCGCGACTCTGTAAAGAACCCTCCAGAACTCGGTCTGGGGCCACGCCGAAGAGACAAGGAGACTGTTTCTTCGTTGATCGGGTCCTCGGGTATGTATGTGTGTGGTCACTAAGGGGTTCGAACCCTTTATCAGGCTGCGTATCTCACTCACTCACTCACTCACTCACACACACACACACACTCTCTCTCTCTCTCTCTCTCTCTCACACACACAATATATACACTATATCTTGTCGTTCACCATCCAATCAGCCTCAGTCTATCGGACTAAATTATGTCCGATCTCAATGTCCGGACAAGTGGCGAGAGACGATGTGAGAATTAACAAGAGCAATAATTTATCAAGACTCTTCTATGAGCTGTGAAAAGGCTGTCTGACTCTACCTTTTTTCTTTTTATGATGTTTCTCTCCCTTCCCACGAGGCCCTATCTTTCCCCCATTTTATTGGGATCTAGACACACCATTGCTACCCTTTTAATCTCGGTCCTTCTCCTTGTTCTTGTGACTTCTGTCTTAGCCTTGCATCCGACGACCGTTAAAGACTTCTACTTGGCGCATACGTGCTCTGTAAGTACTCTCGTTTCCTTGCCATCTAAGGCCCCGCAGGCTTCTCGGGAGTGTTCCAGGCCAGTGAGGCACTCGCGGCCAAAGTCCAGGGCGTCTTCCCCGAGGCCCTGGGCGATTCTCCCAGGAAGTTCGTGGGGAAGCCCAGGTCGAAGGTGGTCTGGCTCTCGAGGAAGCGGATCTGCTCGTCGGTCAACTTGATAGAGAGGGCCTTGATGTTTGCCTGGAGGTGCTCGACCTTGCGCCCGCCGACGATGGGGAAGACGTTGACCGTCTTCTGCATGACGTAGGCGAGGGCGATGGCGGCGAGCGACTCGATGCCGTGCTCCTGGGCGACCTTGTCGAGCGCGGCCGAGATCTTTTCCTGCTGCGGCGTCTGCCCGACGGCGCCGAAGATGGTGCGGAGGCCCTCGCCCTGCTTCTGGCGCTCCTCGAGCTGTTTCTTGCTCTGGAACTTGCCCCCGCCCAGCACGTCCCAGGGCGCCAGCGCCATCCCAAAGTGCCGCGCCATGGGGATGATGTCGCGCTCAAAGTCGCGCTCCATCACGTTCCACCGGCCCTGGTACACGCTAAACGGTGTCTTTCCTTGGGCGCGCGCGTACGTATTGGCTGCCGCGACGACCCACGCCGGCGTGTCCGAGACGCCCAGGTAGAGGACTTTGCCCGACTGCACGAGGGTGTGGAGGCTGTCCATGACTTCTTCGATAGACGTGGTCCAATCCTAGTGGGTTTATTGTCAGTCTCGGGGGTTCGGCTGCAGGTAAAGAAAATAGATTAGAGATTGAATGTAGGGACAATGACTTACCCACCAATGAAGGTACAAAATGTCAACGTAATCGGTCTGGAGCTTTGCAAGAGAATCCCTGACCGAGAGGTGCAGACTCTTCTTGTGGTTCCCGGAGTAGTTGACCGTCTTGCCCTTGCCGAGCTCCCAGCTTCGGTAGGGTGTGGTGTACCTTTTTACCACAGAGTAGGTATCAGCAAGTTGAAGTCGCGCGTTGTGAGAGATGGTGCGTGTATGGGACAAGCACGAAAAGAGGCGAAGGGGGCAACTTTTTACGACAGACATACTTGGTAGCAATCACCATGAGATCCCGGTTCTTCTTTTCCGCCATCCATTCACCAAGCCACTTTTCGGATTGTTCGTTTTGATAGTTGTTCTAACAAGAGAAAAGGAAGGCAGATCCTCAGTCAATCCAACAAGGTTCACAAGGGACTTTTCAGGACAAAGCGTGAACGTACAGCAGTGTCGATAAAGTTCCCACCGGCCTCAAAAAAGGCGTCGAGGAGTTTGAAGGATTGTTCTTTATTCATGCTGCCCATGCCCTAAAAGTCTCGTTAGCTCCTGGTTCAATGCCCGCCTCTCTCTGTTACAATAGGTAGACAGGAAGACGAACCTTGGTCCAGGCGTCCCCAAGGGACATGGCACCCAAACACAAGGGAGACACTCTGACGCCGGCGGTGGGAGAGAGAACTCGATACCGACCCAGCTCGGTGGGCGGTTCGGGAGCGGGAGCAAACAGGTCATTGATGTCCGACATTGCCACAACTTTGTCGTCTTTCTTTCTCTGAGATGTCTGTCGAGAGAAGGAAGAATTTCACAGCCTTGCTTTTTGGGAGGGTTGATTGATTGATTGAATAAGCCGTGCTAAAGAAAAGGGCAAGCCCAGTTGTTCTTATAGTGCTGGTCAGCGTTCATGCTGTGACAAAAGAAAAGGCGAGAGAATGACCTGCAATCCAATAGCAGTGCTCGCTGTACGAAGCTGCTAGTGGTCAGTTGCTCCATATTGCCTTGTCGTACCTCTGCTCCATTGCTCCTTTTGGTGAGTGGGGTGTTGCGGAGGGTTTCCCTTTGGACGCCATCTATCTGCATGCCACTGACCGTTCCTGGACATACACAGGCACTATCTCCATGTCTGCCCGAGTGAAAAAGATGTGTGTGCTTTAGACTCCCGAGGTCGTTCATTCCGACAAGCCATTCGTAAGACAAAAACTAAGTGAAGTCAAGGCTTCCTGCCGAGGTAATCTCGCACCAAGCACTCCTGCTGATCGATCGATGCCCACCCGGCCTTACCAGATGTGAAGCGTGTGGCCTTCACTTTGGGGTTGGTCCATGGTCGGCCGAAGACGGCCAAATCCAGTGCTAGCATTGAGGTGTGTACATATACAGGAGAAACGGTGGAATTAACAGGAGATAAGAAACAGACAATCAGACCGACGCAGTCGGGATGATTCCCTTGCAACCACCAACCCAGACAATCTAGATCTTAACCTCGTATAAACTTCAGTACCGAGGAATCGCTACTTGGAAATATCTCTTCCCGAGCAGAAAAAGGTGGAAGGGGATAGAGAGGAGAGGCAAACGAACAACATCAATGGACCACGATTATGGGCGCAATGCATTCCATGATTGTTTTGTATTTGGGATAACAAAGTGCAATAGTGGCCTGGCGAGCCTGATCTAACAACAGCCAGCGAAGACCTTTTTCCCTCTGGGTCTCGTATCAACCAAGCTCCGTCATCATCAAAGCACAAGCTCTCCAGCGTGGTGAGTGTCTGGGCAGAAAGAAAAACTCCGGGAAGATGCACAGATGGTCTTTCGCAATATTATTCTTCTCCCTCCATTTGCCGTGGCAGAATATCCCCATCCATTTGTTTTCCCGTTGATTCCCAGGCTTTTCCTGTCCACCTCCGCCCCATAAAAAGCTCGTACTGGATTTTGGTGTCATGTCCATGTCGAAAAAGTCTATTGAAGTCATCATGTCCCACAGGATGTCGAAAGAGAGAGAAACCCCGCAAAATAACTTTTGGTTCTTTTTGGTGAAAAACGAATCTCGTCAAAAGGCTCGAAGGATCTGTCCTTCCCGCCCCATGGCCCCCATTTCATATCAGAGCCTACTGATGGAGTCTCGTCATTCCATTCTCTCAAGCTTCGAGTTTTGCGCCGTCGCACTCTCTTTCGTTTCAAAACGACGCCGTGGTGTGAGTCTGGTATTCGTCTGCACGTATCGTCCGTTCCCTCTGTTCACATGAGGCAGTTCGACATGCCGAGGGGTATCTGGAAATCGATCCGGAAAAGGAAAAAAAAGCCAACGCTATCTATCAGTGTATCATGCTGTGCCCGATAATAAACAGTCGTCTCGAAAAGAAAATGCCGTGGCCGTGGTCGTCATCACCGAAGAAGCAAGTCCGTGCTGAAGGAGTATGCCCATTCGCTTTGAGGGCAACACCCGGTCACTGTTCGAGAGCGTGAATGTTCAAGTAAAAAGGAAAATCCCCGTGCCGAGAAGAGATGGAAAAGTCGATCCACCACAAAACGCCATTAACCGTTTACCACCAAGAAGAAGGGCCTGTGGCACCTCCTGGGTTGCCATACCCTCCTCCACTGCTGCCGCCGCTGTATCCGCCACCATAGGCCCCACCACCATAGGGTGCCCCGCCGGAGTAACCTGAGTTTGTTAGTGCATGATCCAAGAAAGAACAACTCTTGTCAGAACTTACCACCACTGCCACCACCACCACCACTGCTGCCGCCGTAGTTACTACCACCGTAGCCGCCGCTGTAGGAAGGAGGACCGCCGCCCATACCACCGCCCACACGACGCATGTCACGTGTGGCGGAAGCACCACGGCCCGCACCACCGCGACCACGTCCTCCGCGACCACCGCCGAAACCAGAGCTCTCACGCGCTATGTTCTCCAAGAAGCTGGGGAGTTCTTGGTTTGCCTCTTTGAGAAGCTCAATGAGATCACGGACAATGCCTCGGTTGCCGCGATTGAAGAAAGCAGTCGACAGACCGGTGTTGCCAGCACGACCGGTACGACCAATTCGATGAACATAGTCGTCAATGTCAGTCGGCAGGTCGTAGTTGATGACATGCATAACATTTGGAATATCGAGTCCACCTAGTGTAGTGAAGGATTATGGTCAGTAAATGCTTCAAGGGAATGTGACTTCAAAGTCAATATTGTGAGAGCTGGGTAGTACTTACGAGCAGCAACAGCTGTAGCAACCATGATTGGGCACCTGCCATTTCGGAAGAACTCGAGGGCCCTCTCACGCTCACGCTGCGTACGATCGCCATGGATTGCAGTAGCTGGAAAGCCTTGGTTGATCAAGAAGTCGGACAAAGTATCGGCCATTCGTTTAGTCTCAACGAAGATCAAAGTAAGACCATTTCGGTGAGTGTGGAGGATGTCGAGCAAGACGGAACGCTTGTCGTTGTCTTCGACGTATTCAACCTTCTGCGTGATGTTCTCGGATGTCGAGCCCACTCGACCAACTGACAGGAAGACGTAGTCTTTGAGGAAGTCTCTGGCCAACATTTGAATGTCGCGGGGGAAAGTGGCAGAAAACATGAGAGTCTGGCGGTTTTGGACCGAAGGCATATCCTCACCCTCCACAATGCGACGAATTTGGGGCTCGAAACCCATGTCAAGCATACGATCAGCCTCATCGAGAACCAAGTACTTGATGTTTGCCAGGGAGATGCGACCTCGCTCTATGAGGTCGACGAGACGACCTGGGGTAGCAACAAGCAAGTCACAACCTCGTTCAATAGAGCGAAGTTGGGTTCCAATGTCGGCACCACCATAAACCACGCAGGGTCTGACCCAGGAACGGTAAGAGAATTTTCGTGCTTCATCGTAGATCTGCGAGACTAGTTCGCGGGTGGGAGCCAAGATCAGAGACGTCGGGAAAGCCTTTCGTTGGCGGAAGCCACCACCACTGGCAGGCGTGGCAGAGGGGCCGTTCTGGAACGCCTGTGACAGGATAGGGAATAAGAAACCACCAGTCTTGCCAGAACCAGTCTGGGCACAAGCCATCAGGTCTCGCCCACCCATCACAATGGGGATTGAGTACTTCTGTACAGGCGTTGGGGTAGTGTATCGTGCGAGCTTGATGTTGCCCAAAAGGTGGTCATCAAGAGGAGGGTTGGTGAAGGCATTGACCGGTTCCGGGACATCGTGGCCACTAGCCTCAACAGGGATGTCGTCATAGTTGGCAAAGTTGATTCCAGTGTGAGCTTTTGTCGGGTCGTTGGGAGTGCCAAACAGTTCACGTTCAATTTTCGGGTTGGGGGGGCCAGCAATGTGTTGACCATCTCTCCATTGACCGTCTCCTGAACCGCGAGCAGCGTTGCCACCATAGTTTCCGCCATATCCACTGTGACCACCACCGCTATGACCGCCACCAGGAGCACCATAGGCGTTCGGGTTGAAGGGACGAGGAGCGTGACCGGCACCCCAGCCATTTGGTTGAGGAGCGGGGGCACCACCAGGACCAGGTTTGAAGTCGGGAGCAGCCGCCCAGCTGCCATTGCTTTGACTAGGGCTTGTAAGTGAACCTGATATGTTTGGAGAGTTTTGATTGACATACGTGTTGGTAGCCCAGGCACTTCCATTCAATCCTTGAGTTTCGCCATTAGGCGCAGGTGTCGGTGCTGGTGCAGGACCGGCCCCGTCCATACCCATGACAGGGGGACCACGATTGCTCTGGCCACGAAGATGAGGAGGGATGTACGCACGAGCCTGGATGGGATTGCCGGGAGCATGCTTGGATTCGTTCAGAGTGAGACCGTTCATGTTCAGGGAATCAGCCATTTTCGATGATCGAGTGATTTTGGGATGTACTGAGAATGAAAGAGTCAGCTGAGATTCAAAGGACTTTTGTTATAAGTAGTTGAATGATCTCTGAGAAAATTCCACAAGGAATTCGGACGCCTGCAAGGGCAGGAGGACGTGTGAAGGGATTTGGACTTTGACGACGGTGGGCGAGTAGAGTGAAACTCACGGATAGAATAAGATCAGACAGGTAGTCCACGTCTGGAATATGCTGACTGAATGAAGAAAAGAGGTAGTTGTGATAGTCGCTGCTCGAAAAGTGAAGTGAGGTTATCGAGGCGTCTAAGGATTCAATCGCTGATGATTGCTTGGTCTTTCGTGTCCGGCAGATAGAATGAGAGACACAAAACGCCTCTCCAAGTCTATCCGAAAGTGAAAACGAAAGACAGAAACAAGAAGGACTGTAGAATTGTCGGTTGTCGTTGTTGTGTGGATGAGAGGAGGTTGATGAAATGAGGTTTTGAAGGATGAAAAAGTCTTGAAAGCGCAGCCTAAAAATTTTAGGGAGCGGCGAGCAGGTGATCATTACATGGGCCCGATCGGCCAGGCTAGAAGCTACTGGACAATGGGAATAAAAACGCAGTTCGCCAAGAGCGAGACTATGCCGTATTTGTGCGCCGCAATTGCCACCAAGGGGCGTAACGTCGTAGGTTTGATGGCACTTCACATGGGGTGCTCGTACCCATCGATAATCTACCTTCATAGAAGAGACATCAAGCGTGAAGCTTGCAGAAAAGGAGACAACGGAAACCAAACAGCAAACTGTTATGCTCTACAGCGTTTACTTACGCCATGCTTTTATCATCCGACTTGTGGGCTGGGGATCTGCGCCGCTTGACTATGACCAAAACAACCAGCATGATGAAAAGAAAGAGCGCTGCTTTCTGCATGTATGCTTGTGTCACTAGCCCTTCCACAGGACTAAACAATTCCTCACTCGCAGGCAATTCTTTGGGCAGTGCTTCAGTTTCATCCTCCACTGGTGGTGGGTTTGTCCCAAGTTCATCCTCTCCATCATCGTCATTCATATACTCAGGATGCATGTTCGAGTAGATAGGTTGTTCTGTCAGATGAGTTTTAGCCCTTGTTCAGATACTAATAGTAATCCGAGAGCAGTACCTGCCCTCAAATCTTAAAGTTCGTTATGAATACCTTCGGGCGGCACAGGCAGCTCTCCGCTCTTAACGATCTTGACTGGCTTGGCTGGGCGGTCCCCGGAGCCCTTGGGTACATTTTCAATTTGCTCGACAACATCGTAGCCCTCGAGCACTTCCCCAAATACGACATGACGCCCATCAAGCCAACTAAACACTGTTAGCCAATGACATCTGATCTGGAACATGCAGCCGCTCAGGGGCAAATATACCTTGTGACAACGGTAGTAATGAAGAACTGTGACCCGTTTGTGTTCTTGCCCGCATTGGCCATGCTCAACAGGCCCTTCTTGGTGTGCTTCAACTTGAAGTTCTCATCTTCAAACTTATCACCATAAATTGACTTGCCGCCAGTACCGTCTCCTCTTGTGAAATCACCGCCCTGAATCATGAATTGTTTGATAACACGGTGGAAGGTTGATCCTTCATAACCGAAACCCTTTTCGCCAGTGGCTAGTGCTCGGAAGTTCTCTGCGGTCTAGGGATGAAGAGTGAGTGGTTAGCTGGCAGCTCTCAGAAGATATAGGGGCTTTAGAGGTAGGATTACCTTGGGAACGGTCTTGCCGTAGAGACCCATAACAATCCGACCCAGCGGTTGGCCATCGTGCTCAATGTCGAAGTAGACCTTGTGCGTGATCTTTGGGCCCTTGGCCGCCTGTGCTGTCTGTCCCATGAACAGGAAGGTAGCGGTCAAAATGACCATCAGCGAAATGACAATTCGCTGGATATTAGCCATTTCGAGCCACATCGAACTATGAGACTTGACTGAGAGGGAATTGGGACTTAAGAGAAAGAAGGGGCAATAGGTTGAAAGTGCGGTAGCTGACCGATGACAAGAATGGATGTTTCAGACAACCCTTTCCAATGGGGCATGGCACCCAGAATACCCCAAGTTAAAAGCGGCGGCAAGGCTGAACTGTCGCGCAACTTTTTCGACCACAAAATCCCATCTGATTGTGAGAGAATCAGGAAAATCAAGCCACCATCCTAGACAACGCCGGAATCAAAGGCGGGAGTGGAGGAGCAGAGATGGTATATCTCTCTAAGTTCATTTCCCTTAGAAACAGTACTGACTAGACGTCTACCAGGTCTTCATCTTGGGGGTCAATTTCCCAGAACACCGTTTTGTATGGGTATGTCTCGTCACTGTTCGAAGCTTTACTCCCGCAACACAGTCCGCTTAATTTCTGTTCCAGAGATCACTCGAGACATTCTTCGGCATCGGCCCTGCCACCCGCGCCCGCATCATGTCGCGCTTTCACCTACATAACACCATCAAAGTCGGCGAGCTCTCGCAGAACCAAGTCCTCGACCTAACTGCTCACCTTGACTCCATGAAGATCGAAAATCACTTGAGACGGCAAGTGCAGCAAGATATAACGAGACTGAGGGACACTGGGACATACCGGGGACGTAGACACGCGATGAATCTGCCAGTAAGGGGGCAGAATACAAGGAGTCAGATCAAAACGGCAAGGAAGCTTAACAAGGCGGAGCGGTATTAGACGGGGCCCTTGTTGTTTTGTACCAAAACCACCCATGCGCATGGGACACATAAATGGGGGGAAGTGCTCGCGAGGCATATCATACAGACAGCCTCCGCGGTCCACGCGACCATGAGGACGGTCTGGAAGCCATGTATTTTAAAGCTTCAAGTACTGGGCTGGTTTGAAGCTTGGGACTACGGATGATTGAAGACCTAGTTCAATTGCGCTCGCTTCAGCAACAGATGAGCGGAACCCAGGTGATCATACTGCCCGAAACCTTGACAGACGGTAAACGTCTCAGGGGAACTTTGAATTAAGATATTGATGCTCTATACCGGTCTTCAAAGAAAGATAGGGTTTCTAGAGGACGTTGTCCCGACCACAAATATATCGTTGACTCTCATAAATTCGTAGTGACAGTCATGCTGTTACTATGTACCAGCAAGGTCGGCGGTAATCCGCCAGCCAACACTTCCAAATCACTGATATACCCAAGACTATCCGTCTCACTGCGATATGTTCCTTCGACTGGTGCCGGCAATGTGGTGAAGATGACGGCCGTGTCATCGCTATTCTGTGATATTAGTTCATTCAAGATCAAATGTTGAGCTCGACTTGGTAAGTCGTTAAAGGACAATGGAATTGAGGCTGCTGTTGGAAAGCCCGATGCGGACGGTTGGGGAGCATTGCTGTCCTCCCTTGTCCGCTGGTAAATCGATCGTCCCCCAGGGATGACATCTTCTGCCTTTTGCCGCCGTGGATGCGGATGGTCGGCGAACATGATTGAGGGACCGGCACCCTCATCACTAGCCACTTTAGTTAAAGGGACAGGCTTGGATGTAAAATTTGGCGAGGCTGCTCGAGACCTTTGTGGCGAGGTCGTCACTTCTAGACTCCCTGAGAGCGACGGTATGCCAGTACCCGATGCGGTGGGACTACGGCCTCGACCAACATCCTCTTCACCTGAAGGGGAAACGTCCTCACCAAACTGCAGTTCTGGCTCGGCTGTCATTGAGCGTTCCATCCTCGAGTTTTTGTCCCTTTGCCTTTTGCGTGCCGATTTTTTTGAGCTCGCCCGACTGCTCTTCTTGGAGGAGGGAGATTTAATTTTGAGGGTAGACCTCAGACTCCCTGGTGACTCGTGCATCTGATCTCCGCCTTCTTCTGATAAACTGGCATCCGATTCTTCATCATCGGAAGTCTCATCCCGCTCACCATCCTCTTCGTCATCGTCCTCGGATTCAGAACGTTCAGAGTCACTTGGGTGAGAGGCGTGTCGGCTGAGCATGTCGTCGTCGATGCGCGAGGTTCTCATAGAAAGACTCACTCCAAGACTCGATAAATTGCCAAACGACGATCTCTTTCTTGGATGCGTCAATATCCTGCGCAGACCATCAATCCGAATGAAAGCGCCATCTCTTCTGCTCGGCAGAGACGAGCTTGGCCATACAAAGTCGTCGGCCATCGAAAGGGCATCGACGGCACTAACATCGCCAGATCTAGACTTGCCCCGGAGTTTGAGAAGTTCTTGCCACCATGCCTCATCCTCCAGGACCTTGTTGACTTGCTCTTGCGTCTCTTCATCGACATCTTGGCCATTGACAATGCAATTGTAAGTCTTGATCGCGCCACAGGCCAGCCAGAACACAAGAACCTGAGCCCTGATGCGTAAATTCGCTAAAAGCGACATGACTCGAGCTCGTTCCTCTTCCACATCAGCCTCGTATTCAACGAAGACCGCGACTCGCAGATTGTAAGATCGTTTCCACGATGGCACAGTGTTGAGAATACATCCAAGTTGCAGGATAAGAGTATATGTGTCAAAGTTGGTGGTTGTGACATTCTGCGGCTGACCATCCGTCTCAGACGTCAGTTCTGCTGACATCTGGATGGGCCACAGATCTATGTATTTCTTTGTGACACTTTCTTTCGCCTTGGGGAGTTCCAAATCGCCAAAACCTATTGCGATTGCAACATTGGTCCGCAGCTTCAGGATCATATCTTCCAACACCATGACGTAGCTCTGAATATCTGTTCTTTTTTCCACAAAACACACATCGGTAGGCAATTCGCCACGGACCTGGCTCCTGCTCGTACGACGGCGTCTGATCGATCCGGCTTTCCGTTCAGGGGGCGGACTTGGCACGTCGACCAGAGGTTGCTCTGATCTGAACTGTTGTAGATTGTAGAAGCCGAGGACAACAATATTCGGGCGCATGCCGCCTAATCCAGCGGAGAGAAAGACGTTCCGCACTCCCCATTCAATTGAAGGCGAGATTGCCACGTTTACAAAAGCTTTGATCTTGGACATGTCGATAAACTTGTTCCAAGCTGCTTGCTGACGGCGTGCTTCCGGCACAGAGGCGCCAAAGTTTTGAGTAACAATCACATGGCCAATGATGAACAAGGCCCCCTTCTTTAGCGAGTTGCAGAAGTGGATGAGTTTGTAACTCCTTCTTGGATCATTGACCAGTAGAAGGATTTGCGGGCGCCAGAATTTGACATGCTCAGTCTTGAGTCTCAGGAGATACTTCCGAACCTGGTGGTAGATAAGGACTTCTGAAATCGAGCCCCAGGGTTTTGGCGGAGTTGTGTAGTGGATCATGATGATGAGGATGAGGAGAAGGCAAACCGAACCAGAGGCTGAAATCCCATCAACAAAGAACATGCTTCCGACGCTGAGAAGTGCCCCGGAGGCTGCTGTCCACCAGTTGAAGTATGAAAACGAAGGTCGAAAGTTCGGAGCGGATCCAATCTTTAGAAGGAACGTGGCAACGTTCAGCGCGAAAAAGGTCCTGCAAGATACCATCAGTGCCACTTTCATACCACTCTGGGGCAACACTAACATGAGGTAAGTCATGGTTATCAGAGAAGCAATTTGGTTGATGTCGAGAAGAAGCACCAGCTGAGTGACGGCGAACGTGCAAAGGATGGCATAGATGGGCTCGTCCTTCTTCATCGTCCCCTGCCCGAATATGGAGAGGCCGGGAACAACTCGGTCTCTGGCAATGGCTTGAAGTTGCTTTGCTGGTCCGATAATACCCATCAATACGGAAAAGAATGTCGTTGCCAATTCTCCAGCAAGAATCAATACCCCCGATATGCTCGCGTCCTGCACGACGTTGACATTTCGATAGAAGGATTCCCGGGTGATGCTTGCAGCCATGGCTACAATCACCAAAGTATATGCGACGAAGGTCAAGGCCAATCCACCCAGTGTACCGCGCGGAATGGACACACTCGGATTCTTCAAATCGCCTGACATGCTTGCGCCCGCGAGAATGCCTCCGGTTGCAGGGAACAAGATACCAAACATATCTTGATAGTTCTCTTTGCCCTTTAGCTCGCTGCCTGCTGCCCCCTTGGTGAAGTGAGGCAGCAGGTTCTCCTTCAGAGTTTCTA